GTATTCCTGCCGCGCCGGCTGCTGCTGCTGCTCCAGGCCCAGGCCGCCGCGACCTCGAGCGCAGCCCTGGCGACGCAGCTGGCCCAGTCGCTGCGTGGTGCATCGCTCGTCTCGGGGCCGGCAGCCGTAGTGCGCTCGCTGTGCCGCGTGCTGGCGTCGAGCGTCGCGCACTACGTCGCGCTGTCTACGGGCGGCGACTGCAAGGGCGTCGTCGTGTCTGCGACCTGGCTCGCGCCCTTCTCTGTCCTACCGCGCCGGTGGGACGCCAGCGAGGCCAGCCTGCCTGCCGCTGCGATGGCCTTCCCCGCTGCCGCCCAGAGCGAGCCAGAGGTCATCTCCAACAGTGCGCCAACAAGGAGCGAAAGGGCCACCCCGGAGAGGCGCGAGGTGAAGCAGGACGCTGGCGCGGTGCAGCCGAAGAGAGTGCGCAAGACGAGCCTGCTGTCGCGCGTCCGCTCGCTCAGCAAGCCCAGCGCGGGCACCAACACCACCACAAACACAAACCGCGACGAGAACGAGGACGAGAACGAAGACAGGAACACGGACAGCAACGTGGACGTGAATGTCGATGCCAACGGCGCGTCGAGTGGAGACACTACGGGCACGGGCACGGGCAGCTCGGACTCGTCGACGCAGGTCACGAGCACGTCGACGAGCAACGCAGGCACAGGCACCGCCGTCGCCATTGGACCGAGGGTGAGCAGAGCCGAGCTGAAGCGCATCTCGAGAACAGGATGCTAATAGCATTGCGAGTGCGACAGTCGGCAGCGGCCGCGACAGCCTCGCACGGCCCCACCTTTTCCTTCATCGAGCCCACGGCGCCGTCGTGCAGCAGCAGCAGCAGCAGCGGCACGGCAGGCACGGCAGGCACAGCAGCCACGGCAGGCACGTCGTCCAAGGCAGCAAGCACGCCGAGCACGGGTGCAAGCACCGGCTCCGGCAACGGCGTCAACATCAAGGCCTGCCTCTCGCTCTTCAAAGTCAGCCTCACCGGCCGGCCGAACAACAGCAGCTGTGGATCGGCGGCGATGGACGCGTACGAGCGCGAAAAGGTGGCGCAGCGCGAGGAGCGCCTCGCACTCATGGTTGCCCAGAGCCGCGGGCAGAATGCCGTCTCGACGACGGGCGTCGCGGTGGCGGTGCCCGGTGCGGCGGCCAGTGCGAGCACGAGCGCGGCGAGCGGGCGCAACGCGACGGTGGGCAACGATGCGCACGCCAAGGTGGTGGCCGACGCCGAGTCCCGTGGCCAGCCCGTCACATCCAGCACTGCTGGACAGGGGGCGCAGACGGCGCTGCAGACGCGCCAAGCAAATTCGGACCGCGGGGCGGTGCCGCTGCACACGGGCAAGGGCCAGACCCAGCACATGTTTACGCACCACGAGGAAGAGGCGGCGGCGGACGACAAGGAAGAAGAGGCCGACAAGGAGAACGCGGGCACCACGACGCGCACCACGGTCACCACGGTCACCACGACGGACGTCGAGCGCTTTCCCCGGGCCAAGACGCCGGCCGTCGTCGCGCAAGCCTAGTTGCGCGCCAGAATGCAGAGGTTCCTTGGTCTGTGCGAGCTTTATACTGTCCTCTGTCGACTAGCGTGCACTGCAGGATAGTTCCGAGAATCAAACATCACTTCATGCATGACTTGACTTGGCTCGAAGGGAAGCGCTGCGTCACTCGTCCCAACATCGCATGACCGTCCAGTCCAGCATCGGAGGCTCCTTCTTAGGCAGTGCCGGCTGACATGACGCGCGACAATGGCACGAAGCGCGTCGTCAGGGTGCTCTGCCTGCACCACCTCGGCGGCAACTCGCACCAGATGCGCAGGACGCTGCAGCCGTACTTTGACGAGCTGGCTGCCGCGTGTCCGGACCTCTGCTTCGAGCCGTGGTACGTCGACGGGCCGTTTCTGCTCCCGACGGCGCTGGACGGAGGCTTGGCGCGCGGAGGCCTGTCGCGTAGCACCAGCACTGGCCAGGGCGCAACAAGGCAGACCGCAGGCGAGGCAGCCGAAGCGGCCCTCACCTACGTCTCGCTGAAGCGCGCCGTCGATGCCGAGGAATACAGCGAGAGACAGCGTCCCTACAAGTACAAGCGAACGACCGGGGATGTCAGCGAACAGGCGCTAGCTCGCCTCGATGCCGCCATTGAGAAGAACCGCAGTGGTGGACTACTTCAGCGAGCCAGCGAGATCCTGGATAGCAAAGCGAGTGCAGACCAAGTCCGATGGTGGCAGATGCCGTGCGACGCCTACGACAATCCGGGCCCGTGGGTGGGACACGAGTACAGCATCGCGTATCTCGGCCGCTTCATCAGCGAGCACGGCCCATTCGACGGCATGATTGGCCACAGCGGCGGCGGCCTCATTGGCCAGTACTGCCATGCGCTGCTGGCGGGTGCGCTGGATGCGTCGCAGGAAGCGCTGTTCCCGTTCCCCATGCCGCCAGCCGAGCCGGCAAGCTACGCCTTCCGCTTCTCTGTGATGTTCGCACCGGTCCTCCCGGACACGCCGCGGGTGGCCTACCTCGCGCGCGTCTCCGCCACGCCGCTCCGCTCGCTCGTCTTGACCGGGAAGCGGGACAGCTACCAAACTCCCTGTGAGATCGTGTGCGACTATCTCGACATGGCTAGTTACTAATCTGGCCTTCATGCCTTCTTCTGCCCGCCCGCTCGCCCGCGAAAGTGACGTGCCGTGCCTATGCGCAGCTCGTCGGCGCCCAGGACTTCTGGGAGCACGAGGGCGGCCATGGGATCCCACGGGATGCGCATTCGGTCAAGCGTGTGACGGCATGGCTCGCTCGGGAGGCGCGGGCGCTCCAAAGGCCAGCGGCCACTCCTCGGCTGTGAAGCACACGCGACACGGAGAGCACAGCTCTGTCTGAGCGTACTGCGATCGCGTAGGATGGTAGACGACAGGCACCTTTCATGCGCAATCACAAGGCTCCATGGCTACCAATCACGACGGTCGTACCACATCACTCATTCAGACAGGTCGTAGACGGAACAATGAATTATCCACCATCATCAACAATAGTGCTCGTCAACATACTGCGTCAGAGGGGCAGCGGACAGATGCATTTATGATGATGCATTTTGTGACTGTGGCTGTCTCGAGACTGTGACTGTGACGGGAGAAAAGGAAAAGGACAAGGAGGGCGCTCAGATGTCAAAAGACAGCGCGCGCTTCAGCTGGTCGTTGCACTCGTTGGCCGAGCCCTGGCTCTGGCCGGGCTGGTTGAAAAAGGTGCCCTTGGTCACGGCGACCATGCCGCCCGTCTGCATCTGGCCATCGACGACGATCTTGGCACACTCGGTAAAGTGCTTGTCCTTGTACGTGCTGCTGCTGTAGTGCCTGTTGACGGCGTCCTGCAGGTGGTGCTGGTGGCTCGCGTCGCGCTTGCCATTGGCATCGCCGTTGTCGTCGTCCCACGCATACGACGCGTAGAGCTGCTTGTAGTGCTGCTCCTGCTCGTCCTGGCGCGCGGCGAGCGGTCGGTTCTGCGTCTCGTTGAAGTGGCCCGCACCCACGGCGAGCGTGTGCTTGTTGTTGCCGTGATCAAACGAGTAGAGCCAGTGGGCGACGGCATCGTCAAACGTGTGCGTCATGACGTGCGTGTACTCGCTGCCGAGGCCGCCGTCGACGTGCATCTGCTTGAGGCCCGACAGCCCGCCATGCCAGTGGACATTCTCGACGTGGAACTGGTGGCCGTCCTGCTCCATGGCGCGCTTCTGCGTCGCGCCAAACACGACGAGGCCGACGCCCGTAAAGAGCTCAATGGCGAGCCCAGCGACGCAGCCCGCGGCGCGGTACTGTGTCGGGATTGGCAGCTTGTCGGAGCATGCGGCACCGACGACGCCCGTGATCAGCGTGACGCCCAGGCTGATTATGCCCCAGTCGGCTCTTTTGACGAGGTAGCCGAGGGGCACGGCTGCGGCGGTTCTTGCGCAAAGCGCGACAAGAGATGCGCAAAGAGCCAGCCCACTGCGGAGCCCAGCGGCACGGCCAAAATTGCCATCAGCGGCCCGGACATCGTTGGTCATTGTACGGGGTGGGGGTAGGGAAAAGAGAGAGGAAAAGCAGGAGCGATGAGAAGGAGAGGGAGAGGGAGAGGGTTGGAGGGATGAGGGGTTCGAGAGGGAGCAGACGGCCCTGCATTTATAGCCGAGCAAAGGGCTCGCAATGGCGACGTAGGGCTTGGTGATGAGCAAGGACGTAAGCCCACGGCCATCATGATGCTGAGAGACCGCGAGGTCGTCGTAAGCAGGAACAGCTCCTCGAGCAAAAAGGTGAGAAGAGCAGTCCCTGAGCCGGCTCAACTCTTCGGAATCTCGGGTAAAGCCAAAATAACTTCCTCCAAACGAATACTTACACTCGCCCTGCCGCCGGGACGCAACGCAGGCACGGAAAATTGAACGCGTGGCGCATGCATGCATCGCAGCATCGGATCGAATCTGAGGTGCATTTCGCTCGAGGGTCCGATCAATCTCCGGGGCAGGACACGAGGTCAGCTCAAGCAGTATGACCGTCTCCTTGCAGGCGAAGAAAAATCCGAGCGGTATCGACGGACCGTAGTCCAGCTCGAGGCTCTGATGATCCTAAAGAAAACACACGGTCATCGAGCTCAGGAAAAGCCACGGCATATATCTGCTATGTGAGATGCTCGTCTCGTCCACGTTCCCCAGGTACATCTCAGTCTGGAAACCTGGGCATGCGACCTGATCGCACTGGGCGGGTGTCCTCAGCATCAGCTTTTGAGTCTCTTCGATGGCCTCCAAGACGATGCTCACCTCCCTTTCTGCGACAGCATCGCAGAGCTGCAACGATATGCCGAGCAAGCAGGCCCCCGTTTGTTTCCTTGTGAGCTTGTCAGGTTCAAGCGGCGGAGGAAAAACAGCATGCCTTTGCAATGTACAGTACCTTGTTCTTCAGAACCGTGCAAGGAAGCTCACGGTTCAACGAGGGTGTGTCTACTTGAAGTCGAATGAGTGAGTGCCTCAAGTCTGATTCGGGCTGCTTGACCCGCACCATCGCGAATTTGATTGGGGCTATCCTATCGCTTAGCCGGTATGGAGACATATGCGACTGCGAGTCCACAGTGGCAAAGAGCTTAAGCGTGCGCCAGAGTCAGTCTTTCGAGGGAATGTGGGGTCCGCGTCGTGAATCTGTGATCCTCTGGTTGCGGATGATATTGAAATCCAACATGTGGAGACTCTTGTCTTTCTCAGCCCGAAAACGGTCTTCGGCGGCCGAGTCTCACATAATCCTTGCCTGATAGAAAGGGGAAAAGTGCGACAAGCCTTGCAGACAGCACACAAGAAGGGACAGCGCCAATGATTGAATACTTTTGCTTATTGAGGGGCGCATGTATGCAATGAAGTTCTTCTTCTCGGCTGCGTTGTCCCAGGCGATATTTGCACTGTGACGCTCTTGACGCATGTCCTGTACAAAGTAGAAATCCACACGCATGTGGCGCGCGGTGACTTTTTTTTTTCATCGTGCCTGCATCCCAGCGAAGCGCGAATGGAAGAAACTAAGAAGCTCTTTAGGCTTTACCCGAGGTTCCAGCGTGTTGAGCCGGCTCAGGGACTGCTCTCCGTGCCCCTCTCGCCTCTCGTCTTTACGTTCTAAGAATTGCACTGCCAGATCAACCACGCGGGGTCTCTCATTGTATCAAAGTGTCCGTGCAGGAGTGTATTTGCTGGTCCTCATGGGCTATCGCTACACACATTCGCTGATGAAGCTTCTCACTTGTTCGACCTGCGCCGTCTCCTGATCCCACGATGCATCTCCATTGTGTCCGAGGTCCGGAACCAAGATGAGCTCATGGCGGATGCCTGCCTTCTCGAGGTGCGTCTGCAACACCTCACTAGCCATGTGGGGCACATAGGTGTCTGCCGTTCCGTGGAGCGTAATCGTCGGTGGGAAATGATGATCGATGACCTCCTTTGCGTCGCTAGGCTTGTCCACCGAAAAGGCGACTAACCTCTTGCCGCCCTGCGCAACGTGAGGCAGCAGACCGCGGTTGATGGCCAGCGGGATCATGAGCGCGCGCAGAATCTCGGGCTCCCAGACCATCTCGCGGTCGAATTCGAGGCCGTGCCACTCTTGTAGCGTCATGCCATTGCGCGCGCCCAGCGCCTTCCAGGCCTCGGTGTCGAGGTCGGTCGCAATGCGAAAGGAAAAGTGCATGCCGGTGAGAGCGGGCGATTCCGTCATAGACGCTTCCAGCGCCGCTTCGACCTGCGAAACGTGTGGAGGTTCCAAGAAAGGGTGCGACGTAGGGCTGGGTGCCGGCGTTGAGAAGGAAGCGATGTCGGTGATGCCATACAAGTTGATCAGCGCGCATGGACGGGGAGAGGCAGAGGCACACAAGTGCATCGCCTGCCAGACACCTGCAAGGCCAGACGAGTGTGAGCAGACAGGCGTGAGCAGAGCGCACAGCAGTACTGACCAGAGCTGCTGGAGATAACGACGCCTTTACGCCCATCGATTCCTTCGAGCTTCGTCGTCGCGTAGGTCCAGCCGTCGAGGACATCGTGCGCTGACTCCAGCACAGTCGCACCTGGGCACAGCCGATAGTCGACGCTGACAAACCCCCAGCCAAGCTTCTTGGCCAAGCCCAAGCTGTGCGTGCATGCATCGCAGTCACTCTCTGCGCCTTTAGGTGATCCGGATCGCAACTCACTACCATGGTGCGTACGATCTTCGGTTCAGCGACATGAAACCGCCGCCATGGACCCAAAAGAGGAACGGGCGGGAGGACGATTGCGGCGGCGGGAGATAGTCCAGATGCAGCTGGCGATCGCCTTCTGAGGCGAATTGATGGACCTGCCATGGGGCAGGAAGGGTATGGGACATGTTTGAAAGGAGGAGAGCTACTTCAGCAAAGAACGCGCGTATTTCAACGAATTGACTTACGCCGGTTGAATTCAAAAAGTCCGAAAGGAAACCGAGAATCTCTAATGCACCGCATGGTCCGCACTGCAGCGATGCGCACGCGCAAAAGGCCGAACCGTCATCCGGCTTGTCCTGATCAGCTTAATCTGTACCCGTACCCTGCCTGAACGAATTCTCTTGGGCCGCGAATTCATGACAATGGCGTGCCGCTCGTTTGCATCATTGTCTGAGCCACGGCGTTGCCTGCCGCGCCAAGCATTCACTCCTCTTCTCTGACGGCACCCCGCGCATGCTGCTGCCGAAAAGCCTCGCGAGCGGTACGGTCAGTGTACACCGCCTTGCTGGCATCTTGAACCAAGCAGGTGCGCTTTCACTTTGAGAACCCAGTCGCCGTCACTTCGAATTAGCCCTCAGCAGAATTCAGACTTCAAATAAGACGTGCTCCAGAGACGAGCATAGCATTCCTCTTCATTCAGTCGCGAGCTTGCTGGACTGGCAAGATCAATAATGTTCCTGGCAATGGCCTGTTGTGTTCTTGTCTATGACGCAAAGGAACCACTTGTTCGTCCACGAAGCGAATGGCTCGTTGAAGACGCCCTGCTTGACCGAGATCCACTGCTGGCTGTTGCCCTGAAAGGCCTTGTCGAGGGCCACGCGGCCCCAGCGTGCGAGGTCCGACGACTTGAGCGTCTCTGGTGTGTTCTTGTCGCCGAGCCAGAGGGCAGTGACGGTGCAGGTGGCGTCATCCTGGATACGCAGGCGCTGCCATTGGTCCACGTGGAGCTCCGTGTCGTCGTGGAGATGACTTTGCACCAGATTGGCACAGTCAGGCCCACGCCCTGGGTGGTCACCGCGCTGTGTCCACAGCTATACCAAACGCAGCAGCAGGGAACGGACTTGTCAGGCGAAAGGCAAAAGAAGACTGTCCCAAGCTTCGCGACTCACATTGTTCCACTGTGGGGGCTGTGTCGGCGTGAAGCCAGTACCGTCGCCATCGGCACATACGAGTGCGACCAGCGACAGGGTCACAAGAGAGAGAGAGAGGGAAACCATGTTAAGAAGGATGCACGTCCAGCGAGCGAGAGGATGGTTGGATCAAAGGATTTGATATTCGCCATGCCCTTTTATCAAGCTGCTTCATAGAGATCTACAGTGGGCGCTGACTATTACAGGTACCAGGCACGCGACGTCCACATGTCGCATGATCACCACTGTTGCAGTGGGTATCGAAAAGGAGCGCCTAATGCGCAAAATGATTCTCGGGTAAAGTAAATTTCCGGCCGAATCGCGAGGCGTAAATCGCAGCAGGCTCGCTGCCCCTGCGACGCGTTCGCCGCGTTCGCCAGGGGTCAAACAGGGCGGCGTCAGGTCCCGCCTCGTGGTCAGGTTGCTTGGCCTTGCATACGTCTCGTGCTTCCGACGACCTTGCATTCTGGCATGCTGTGGGCGAGGGAGAGATTCGAGCCATTTAAAGAAAGCTAGATGACTCGCTGAAACGGCTTTCTATCGAAGGCCCCCTACACCCCCCAAAAAGAAAAAAAAAAAAAAGAATCCAATCTTCTTGCCTGGCTTCAAGCAAGCAATGCACTCTTTCTTCTTTTTCGCAGCAGTCGCAATGGTGGCCTCTGATGGTCTGGCGGCACCCTCGCGTCGCCACACCGTGCCCCTCTCGGAATTGCTGGAGCGAGGTATGCCCGCTGCTCGCACGCCAGCAACTTTGGACACTCGAGACAAGACTGGCAACGGCACCCATTGCCAGCAGGCTTTCCAGCCCTACGTGGAGTACTCGTCGACCACACAGAACGTAGGGCTTTGCAATCCAGTCGACATGGTCCAGATTGCCATGGACTATGCTTGCAGTCCCAGTGCCGGCCCTGGGTCCTGCCACGCCGGACTGCAGCCCGACTGCTCCTTCAACGACAAGACCGTCAAGGTCGACCCTCCCGTGGGCCAGTGCACCGTGTCAATCGACGGCCAGTGGCAAGACGGCCACGGCGACCTGCTGGGCAAGATGGTCATCGAGTCTCTCCGGGCCTACATGGATAATCAGGGCGACAAGGCCTCCAAGACGCTCCAAGAGACTGGCTTTACGCTGCAGCAGTACATCATGCCAAGCATCATCGTTGCTGGCCTTCGAAACTACAACTACGGTCCTGGCGTCGAGACTCTCGACAAAGGCAAAGCCAGCAGCGGCAAAACACATGCCAGCAACACTGACAAGCAGGCCGGTGATTCGTGCGTGACCATCTATGCGAACGATCCTCCCAAGATGACCATGACCGTGGACTGCAAGGCCGACGCGGGCAGCACATTGACCTGTGACTCGCTCAAGGGCTTCCTCGGTGCGCTGGTCAGCATTCTTGGAGGTCTTGTCAGCACCTTTGCACCCGAACTCAAGTTGCCAGAAGAGGCTCTGAAAAAGGGCCTCCAGTCCGCTGCTATCAGCGCAGGCACCTCTGCAGCCACGACGGGATCACAGACGGGTCTTGGGAACAGTGGAGTCTGCTCAAAGTAAATACTCCCGAGCTCCGTGTACATTTCGCTTTGATTTCAGGCTTGCGTGCTGTTGCAATAATGAGCCACTTGATGATGATGTGACCTTGCTCTTGAAGGCGATCACGCTGGCGCAAGGGCTCTGGTTTGCTCCTGGCCAGGCATCACGAGTATCAGCGGGTGTGTTTTGTGCACGCCTCAATGAGAGCACTGCTAAGGAGAGCAGAGGCTTCCTCTCTGGCCGTGTTAGAAGACAGCGTTGAGACACCGCTGTTCTGCGCTTCTCACCAACAGTTCATCGGAAAGAGCCGATGGAACGTGAGGGTTTTTAGTAAATGGAAACCATACGCCTGTACTACCTACTGTACAGTACTTGGAAAGTTTTTATTCGCCACGACTGACCGCGTGTTCTGTTCCTGACGCAATTGTGATTCAAGAAGTCGTTGAAAAGTTTGAGACGCGCGCGGACAGTACTACTGTACACCTGTCCGGGACCGCATCCATTAATTTCCGGCTGGGCGTATGAGGTAATTTCGTTCCTGAAAGAATTTCGGGTCACAGCACCGCTGTGGAAGCTGGCCGGTTGTCGGAGAAGCGCTGGATCCAACCACATGGTCCTCACAGGCTGTACACGGCCGAAACATGGCCCCATCACAAGGTATCCAGACTATGACATGGACGTGCAGGACAGGTGCCTCCCAAGCTACATAAGACGCCCCTCCTTCCCGGCTACTGCCCCATCTATCCACCCATCCACCCCGCTACAGACAGCAAGAAAGCATGGAGCTGGAGATGCAAGACAAGCGAGCCGACAGTACCGAGACAGGCTGGTCTCCCAACGAGGAGCAGCTCGAGCAACTCTCACAGCCCCGGAGCAGAGACAGCAAACAAGGCAACATCGTAGAGGTTTCGTTCGATGACGGCTACTTTCCAGAGCGCTTCAAAGATCCGCAAAAGACCCCGCCAGCACGGTTCTACCTCGGCATGGCCATCATCGCCTTCAATGCCTTTCTCGTCTCCCTCTACGCCAGCTCTTACCTCTACGTCGCTCCTCTGGCCCAGTCCGAGTTCCGGGTGGGCGAGGAAGTGAGTCGGCTCCCCTTTGTCCTCTATGTGATGGTCTGGGGCCTGGGCACACTCTTTCTAGTGCCTCTCGCTGACCTGTACGGACGTGTGAGTACAGGCCGAGCTGCTCTTTCCCCTCTGCTGAGCTGAAATAGAATCTCTCCGATAGAAACCAATCTTCATCGCCAGTTCTGCCCTCTGGGTCATCTGGCACGTCGGAGCAGCGAGATCCAACAGCATGGTCACGCTGACAGTGACCCGTGCGCTTGCTGGCCTGATGGGAACGGCGACGTTTGCAGTGGGAGGCTCCTTTGCCGTGGAAGCGGCGCAGGGTCTCGTCATTGCAAAGGGCATCGTCCTCTTCAGCTGCGGCGTCTTCCTCGGCCCTGCCTTTGGACGTGAGCTTCACTAAGCACAGCACAAGTCTTATAGAATGGCGCTGACGTTGGTCTTTGACAGCCCTCATTGGAGGCGCGGTTGCCACCTATGGCGTCTTTGAAGACCAGGAAAAGGCCGGCTGGCGATGGGTGTTTTACTCTGCCATCGTCGCCGGCACTCTCTCCCTCCTCCTCTTTGTTTTTGTCTTTCCGGAAACCAATCGGACGGTGCTGCTGCAGCGAAAAGCGCGCATGATCCGCAAACACTACCCCGACCTCGAGGTCCGACTTACGTTCGAGCCGCCGAGACTGGCCGAAAAAATCACCTACATCGCCACGACGACGGGGAAAATGCTCATCACGGAGCCCATTGTCGTTTTCATCAGCCTCTGGCAAACGACGGTACTCGGCGTCCTCTATCTGTTCTTTGAGGCCTTTCCCATCGTCTATGGGCCCAAAGACGTGTACTACCCCAACAGCGGATACGGCTTCAACGCGTTCCAGATCGGTCTGGCGTTCATGGGCGTTGCGCTGGGCATCACCCTTGGCAACATCTACGGTGCCACCCTCGACCTGAAGTTCTACACGAAAATGGTTGTGGCCCGTAAAGGGGCGCGGCCACCCGAGCTTCGAACGTACTTTGGCATCGGGTCGACGGTCCTTGTGGCCGTCAGCCTCTTCTGGTTTGCCTTTACGACGTACAGCCACTCCATCCACTGGATCGTCTCCATCCTCGCCAGCGTCTTCTATGGCGCCGGAACGATGGGCGTGCTCCTCGTCACCTTTGGCTACACCGTCGACACGTATGGGCCCAAGTGTGGCGCCGCCTTTGCCGCCGAGGGTCTCATTCGGTCCTGCATCACCTCTGTCCTGCCCCTGTTCGGCGACAAGATGTTCCGGAATCTGGGACCGAGATATGCAACGTTGATTCTCGCGCTCATCAGCCTTGCCGAGATCGCCATCCCAGTCGTTGCGCTCGTGTACGGCAGCAAGATTCGCGGCTGGTCCAGCCTTGCTGTCAAGGGGTGATAGCCCTACCTGCTCCTCGTGGACGCCCACAGAGCGACGCACATGGACTTCTACGACAAGCCCCACACAGGTTGGAGACGGCAGTGGCTGCAGCGGGCGGCCAAGCATCTTTCCTGAGCACTGCGCTGTCAAACTACGCCGTCGCTGGAATGCAGTGTGAATACCCTTGCTCTTCGTCGTTGGTGAAATCTCATGTCTCCTTCTCTCCACTCGGCCCTTCGAGAACAACACACTTAGGCACCATGTCACATGGCCCCACAATGCCCGCAGAATAGCGACAAGCCGATGAGAGCCAAGAAATAGCCCCCCCTCTGAGTTGAAGCTAAAAGCGAGCGCGAGAGGGAGATACGCGCGCGCATACAAGCGACACAAGCGACGCTAGCTACACTGATAAGCTCGTCTGACATGTGGCGGCCGCGGGGCTCTTGGCAATAAATCTCTCGGAGGCACAGCACCCTCACTTTAAGGTTAGCAGCTTCTTCCACCACCATCGCAGCTCGACGCCGCAAGCGAGGCAGCTACGATCCCAGCTCGACGCCCGCACATGCTGCTGCCGCGCGCAGACCGCACCGAGCCGTTCTGGCTCTCTGAGCGCGACGATGCGGTCGCCGACATGCAGACGCGGCCTGCGCTGCCGCACGAGGTCGACATCGTCGTCGTCGGCTCCGGCCTCTCGGGCGCGCTGGCGGTGCATCACCTCACCAAGGCTGGGGAGCAGAGCGGTGGACAGCAGCAGCTCCTCCTCCTTGATGCGCAGAGGTTATGCGAAGGCGCGACGGCCCGGAATGGTGAGTCACTCCGTCTCAGTCTCAGAGGAAGAAGGTACAGATGCTGACTGGGTGGGATGAGCAGGGGGCCACTGCAAGCCGCTGACGTACCTGGGCTTCCGGGCAGAGGCAGCGCGGCACGGCGCCAAGACTGCCGACGAGATGTACTCGTTCGAAGCGGCCCACCTGGCCGCGTACGCCGAGCTGGTGAGATCGGAGGACCTGGACTGCGACATGCACGTCACGCGGGCCTGCGACGTCTTCATGGATGGTGCCGATGCCGCCGAGGCCAAGAAGGACTACGACGAGCGCAAGCGGCTGTTTCCGGCATCGATGGCGCGCGATGACGTTCGCGAGGTCAGCGACGTAGACGAGCTAGCCCGCATGACGGGCATCAAGGGCGGAAAGTGGGGGTGCCACTACCCCGCTGGGCATCTGTGGCCGTACAAGCTGGCCACGCAGCTCATCACCAAGCGCGCGCGGCAAGCTCGACGTCTTTACCCACACGCCCGTCCACCGCATCGACGAGAGTGCACCTGCAGGGCGAGGGTACACCGTCGTCACGGACAAGGGCCCCGTGCGGACGCAGAGCATCATCGTGTGTGCCAATGCATGGACCGCAGGCATCTTGCCGCTGTTCCAGGACAAGATCGTGCCGGTGCGGGGCACCGTCTGCTCCGTGCGGCCGTCTGCGAACCACCGGGTCGGGGCGCAGGAGGGGCATGGGCCGCTGAAGATGACGTACGGCATCCGCCACGGGCCAGGCGAGATGGACTACACGATCCCGCGGCAGGGACGGGGCCGCGTGCCGGGCATGGGCGACCAGAGCATCATCCTGGGCGGCGCCAAGGGCGTCTTCAACCGGGACCTTGCTGCCTGGTACAGCAACAACGACGACGCGACGCTCATCCCAGGCACGCGGGAGTACTTCACGAGCCTGCTGCCGCGCGTCTTCAAAGACTGGAAGGTCCAAGACGGCCAGGGAGAGGTCGAGCGCATCTGGACCGGTGTGCTGGGCTACTCGCACGACCTGCTTCCCTACGTGGGCCGCATGGGCCCGGGCCTCTACGTCTCGGCTGGATTTACAGGCCACGGCATGCCGCGCATCCCCGCCTGCTCCGAAGCCGTCGCCCACATGGCCCTGTCTGAGCTGCGGCAGGGCACAACACCCTCAAAGGCGTCCGTCGAGGCATTTGAGAGCACCGTGCCCGCGCCCTACCACTTTGCGGCTCGTAGACTTGCCAGCCCGGTGAACCGCATCCTTGGTGCGCTCGGTGTGCCGGAGCGGGCCGCTGCGCGCGAGTCGAGTCTGTGACAGGTTGTAATACGAGCGAGTTGGATCTGTAACAAAGTGCGAAATGAGCCTGTAAATACCACAACTTCAGTGACAGTTCGAGTTGGCCCTGTAAATGCACTGCTTTCAAAAAGACAATGAGAGTCGAGATTCAGGCACATGTGCCGCCTCAGATACAGCCCTCGTCTGGCATCTGTGATGGCCGCTAACCAGAACAGCCCGAGCGAGCAATGACATCCTGTCGAAGCAGCACCCTGCTACTGTACTGTACATGCAAGCACAGGCAAGCGCACGCGTCCAGCCACGTTGACGGATTTCTTGATCTCTTATCTGACAGTGAGATTAGTCTAAGCCTGCCCGTTTAAGCTTTGCAACTCGCAGCATGCCTCTGCCATGTCCTCGTCCTCCTCGAGCCAGGACCACTACCACGACCACGGGCGCGCCTCGTCGTCTGGCCGGCCGGACCGGCACCGGTTCACACGGAGCGCGCACGGCTGCCTGACGTGCCGGCGCGCCAAGGTCAAGTGCGACGAGCACGAGCCGGCGTGCCTGCGCTGCACCCATCTCCGCCGCGCGTGCGTGTGGCCGAGCGCCGAGCAGATTGCGCACCCGCGCCGGCCCAAGCGGCGCTCAAAGACGAGCGACTCCACGCAAGATCAGCAGCAGCATGCTCCTCCCCTGTCATACCCGCGCCCGCGCGCCGACGACGACGATGATGCCACGGTGAGGGCAATGACCGAAGGGCCCTCGGCCGCGCTGGCCAACTCGCTCCTCGCAAAGAGGCGGGCCGCCGCCAGGACGAGGACGCCGACTACAGCAGCGGTGGCCGAGGCAGTCCTCGTGCAGCCGTGGACGCAGCAACCGCAGCCGGCGAGCTTTGAGCTGCACGGCTTCGACATGCAGGCGCTGGCCAATGCGTCCGAAGACGAGCTCGCTATCCGGCTGGGTCCTCTTGCCGTCCCCGCGCTGGCGGCGTCGCCCGCGGATGACGATGCAGAGATGCCCTGGACCGCACCCCACGACATGAAGAGCGCGTTTCCCAGCCCGCTCTCGTCGCAGTTGTTCCACCACTTTTGCGCCTAGACGAGCCGCATCCTCGTCACGATGGGCAACCGGCGCGAGCCGAACCCGATCTTGTCCACCTGCACGCCCACCCGCATCCTCGATCTCGGCAGCGCAGCGGCGGCGGCGCTGCGAATGAGCGTCATGAGCATCAGCGTCGCCCACCTCGCCAACGACGCCAAGACGGACGCGGGGCGGATGCAGGGCGCCGAGGGGCCGCGCTGGCAGGCGATCATCGCCGCCGTCGAGGCGCAGAGCCGGCGGCTGCGCAGTGCGGCCCTTGCCAGCGTCGTCCTCGCCGAGGAGGACCTCGTCGACCTGTTCGACACCATCCTCGCCACGTGCGTCCTCGTCATGATCCGCGACGTCGTCACCGCGCAGCCGGGCTGGGAGGACAACGTCGAGTGCGCGATCCGGCTCGTGACGAAACGCGACGGCCCGCGCGCCGTGCTGCGAGAAGAGAGCAGCAACTTTGCGCGCCGGTTTCTGCTCGAGAACCTGGCGACGCACGACGTCTTTGGCTGCTTTGCCACGCAGCACGAGCCGGCACCCCTGAACGAGTTTGACGTCTGGTGGTATGCCTACGCCGAGAGCTCGCGCAGCGAGTGGGAGTGGGAGTCCGTCGAGCGTACCTTTGGCGTGTCCCGGGGCATGGTCGAGCTGATTGCCAGGGTGCGTGGGTCGGTATTATCGCGCTGCCTGCACCTGCTCATCATGTTTTACCTCTGCAGGTGGTCCTGCTCAACGCACAGAAGAAGCGGTTCAACGTGACGTTCACCAACGACGAGGCGCAAGAGCCGAGCAGCATGCGCGTCGTGCGCGCCTACCTCCGGCGCCAGGCCGACGAGCTCCTCCTCGAGCTCGACGTGTGGTCCAAGCAGCTCGGCACCATCTCGCAGCACGTGCGCGTGACGTGCGGCGACCTCATCTACAAGGTAGGTCCCTGCTCACCTGCTCTTCTCCTGCATCACCTGCTTATACTCGCCCTTGCTGCCTCTCTACTTGCTGCTCATCGATCGCACTTGCTGCTGCTACTCTATCACGTGCTCATCGCTTCCCGTCCACAGCACACGGCCAACGTCTTCATCCTCGGCGAGGTGCTCGACCAGCCAAGCACGAGCGCGCAGATCGAAGGGACTGCGCTTTGTAGAACGATATCGCCTCGTCCGGATCGGACGAGGTTTCTGTCTTGGCATCAGCCATCAGAACCACCAGTGTCCCCTTATCGAAGCGAGCAGAGGACAGGAGATTTATTTTACGAGCGAGACCCCTTCAGAGCTAAAGGCTTGATATCAATGGGCTGTAGCATCGTGATTACTGAGCTGCTTCATCGGACGATCCGGAATCATCGTTGGCCTCGTCCTCGTCACCTGCCGTTGCGCTCATTGAATCTCCAGTCCTCTCCTCGCACCTTGTTATAGGCTCACGGCTGAAGGACAGAGGGAAGTTGAGTGATGCTGGGGTTGTGCGGTTGCCTGCCTCGGCGGTTTCAACACTTTGTTGCGATTGTGCAGTTGTGCGTGGAGGACGATAACGTCGAGTTTGCTTGATGTAAGGCGTTGGCTTGAAGAATGCTGGTACGATCGCGGTGGTGTGAGCCGTGTTTTTATAAATTCTGATCTTGTGACAGCAGGCCAAGCGAGACTCTCATAACTCTCTATGACCACTTCTCTACTGCGAGTGATTGAAAGCTCATGAGGGCCTGAGGATGAGCTCGATCAGCAAGTTTACCAACTCTTTGACCCAAGATCGGCAATCGGCAGCGTGGGCTCTATTTCTTCTTTCTTCTTCGATGACACTCCTGGTAAGCAGAAACAGTTCGTCTCCCTTTTGCTCGAGAAGGCGTCAGATCAGGTGCCCTTTGCTGGAACTAAGACAATGCCAATGTCATCTTCTGACGGCACAGAGAGAGTGCTACAGCTTTGCGAAATCCCCAGGGTAGAAAATACCGTGAAAGGTACAGTCGTGCAGTGCTGTAGACTAAGGGTGGCAGTGCAGCCATAGCAGATGAGCGGAGTCTTCAACGAGCAGGGCTGGTCCTCCAAAACCCGGGAGGCGCAGCGGACTCTGACGTACATTGCGGAGGTATTTCGAGAGACCAGCATATGAAGAAATCGCTGGGCAAAAAGGGTGTTTGTCGGAAAACCAATTTCTCGCCGAACGCCTTTCTCCTTCCTGAGGCGCCTTGACTAAATGCTTTGCAGCGCAGTGCACGGCGCCGCCTTTGGAAATTAACAAGATTGCCGAACACCGCCAAGTCAAGCCTTAGCGCGCGCCCTCTGCTGTTGCCCAGCTGCGTGTCGGAGGTCCCGACGTCGCTCATAACAAGTAGCGAAGCAAGTGCTGAGCTCATGAGAGACGCGGCACAAGTGCGGAGCATATCTCAAGAGGCCGGAAGTTGAGATGAGTCCTAATTTGGAAAAAGACCCCGCTGCTTTTTCTAGGATGGCATCTCGTCCACCGTGAAGTTATGTGGTACGCAAATTGTTCTCAGAACAAAGTGGAGCTTTGATCAAATGCCCCGACCAGGTCCCTGTCTCCCATGGCCTGATAACATGAGAGCGAAAGGCCAGAGGACGGAAATTGGTCCGTCTACGATACAATGTCAGAAGTGGACCGTTGATCAAACGCCCCGACTCGGCGGTCCGTCTTTTCCATGACTTGATGGCTCTGTGCGATACCTATTATGGCTAGGAGATCACGCAATTCGCAATTCCTACAAAGCGGCGGAAATGCCATGACAAGGCTCAAACAGTCTTTTCAAAGACCGTGTCGTGGGCAATGACGTCGGAAAACGGGCCGCACAGAGGCGTCAACGCCGCAAGAAGTTCTCGCAGCCCTTTTCGACGGCCCGCCCGGCGCGCACGGCGTGGACGGCGTGGACGGCGGGACAAGGGCAACACAGCCTTCATAGATGGGCTCTGTGTGGGTACAAGCGGCGCAAATGCCGGAAAAACGGCCGTCCAGCCTCTTGCGATGGCGCTTTTTTTGCACTGAATGTAGTGCGCAGTGCACGGTGCGCCTCTGTGCCCTCATTGGGCGAAGCTATTGCGTATTCCACTCTCTTCTGATGCCCGCCCAGAGCACTGAGCATCGCACCGTATCAGTGTCCTGTAGCATTACTGCTAAGCGAGCAAAGATAAGGGAGAGGCACGACAGCAGAGGTTTCGCTGCACCGGAAAGGCAGCCCGCTGGTTGTACTGTAGCTTTTGTGGTAGGCTTTAGGTATAAAAGAAGCCTTCAATTCGTCGTTCGCATCCCCCCTCTCTCCAACAAACACCCTTCTCCCCCCTCTCTCTCCAAACAAACACTCTCTTCTCCCACAGACGACCAAAATGACCAACACAGCAAGTTGCACAATGCCAACAGAAGATTGTTACAAGATGCAAGTCTCAAGACTTCTCACGTCAGCTCCCTCAACGAACGACGACGAAACGCTCGCCGACGCCAAGAAGCAGACAGTGCGACGGCAACACAACGGCAACACAGCCGTGACAGTGCCTTCTACTCGACGTCGGCGAGCGTTTCGTCGTCGTTTGTCGAAGGAGCTGGCCTGGAAAGAGTCTCTCACCGGCGTCGGGAAGCAGTAACGCGGCAGCAGAACAGAGAGCAGCAACGTCTTCGCAGGCTTTTCAAACTTCAAGAAGAGACGGTCCACAGCCATATCCAACAGCAAGAAAAGGCTTTCGGACGCCTGCATGAGCGCCTCCACCGTCACATGGCGCATCAACGAGAGGAGATCCGTACCATACAAGCTGCGGCTCCGTTCGGTTCTGCGACGGATAAATACCCTTTCGTGCGTACACTTCTTCTGACTAGCTAGCTACCCGAATGCTGAACTTTGCACACAGGCGGTAATGACATGCGTCGATTACCAGAAGAATCAGCGCTCGACCTCAAACTGCGCTGATGTCCACCGAGGGCGCTGGATGCTTCTCGGCGCATCCAGCGATCAAGTG